ACAAGGGAACTTCTGAATCAGTGGCGGCCTGTGCGAGTATACTTGAGTCAGACTAGGACGAATACGCCTCTGAAAATTCATGAACATTCCAACCCGATATCATTTGATGAGCGCTTTAAACTTCGCGGGGTGCAAAATAATACAAAAAAAGCAATGGAGGGTTGCTGTTAACAAGTGACAAATAAAATTGTGGATTTAGCACACACAAACGGAGGAGGATATTCCTCAGGAATACTTTCAGCCTTTCCACCTTGGTGAAGAAGGAACACCAGCGAAGCTCTACTATGGTGGGAATGAAGTAATGGACCGGCCGCAAGTCGGCAAGCCAGAGTACAAAGACTGGAGAGGTTGTCGCCATCAATGCGCGACGGCGGCAACCAGACAACCGGGAAGCCGGTTGTCAGGTTGCCGCCGTCAATTATAGATGGCGGTAGCTGTCCAGAGTTTTGTGTCATTATTTGTTTGCTGACTGACATGATGGGAAACTGACCCTTAATAGCTCCGCTGTAAAAATAAGCGCGTGTGTGTGCGTGAGTGTGTGTGTGTGGGGGGGCGGGTAATTTTAATAACATACACTGTTGTAAAGAGGTTCCTCTTTCCCTCATCTTTGGCGGAGACCAACAAGCGTGGGCCCGGAAACTACTTTGTTTGCAAAAACACTCTTGCCAAAAAGCACGTTTTTGTCGTGCCAGACGGTCGCGCAGTTCCTCGCGAAGATGCAGTACGAATAATAATACGTGCCTTTCAAATACTTGGCTTTCACTGAGCTTGAACCTCCTGCAGCGTGCATTTTGCACCATCGAATTTGATTTTCACAATGACTACTAGCATATAGTATGATGACGTCACGTGCATGCCATGCTAAACAGTTCAGCTTTCTGGTGAAATGTGATGTTCGCAACACTAGCAATAGATGTCCTACTTGTAAAGTTTTCCAGTATTTATTGCAGTCTCGCGATGAGATATGGCAGCCCAGAAAAATGTTAGAGCGCATGACTATTGAAGCACAGTGTTGTAAAGCGAGGGCCCAAAACAAGTGCAGGTAAAACCGAATGTAACATTAGCCTCGCGAGGTAGTATTTTGCGAAGTTTCGAGCTCATGCAAGCTGATGAAATTAGATTTATATTAAGATTTTAAGAATTTCATCGGTCCTTCCGCTATTCGTGTAAAATTATTAATTTCATTGCGTGCACCTTTACGCATCTCTTTTTGGAGTAAGGCGTTCTGTAAGGGATTATTTAGGAAAATACCATTATTTTCTCTTTTTTTAACATTTCTAGTATTTGCTTTCAGATCTGTCATGTGAATACCGAGTCCTTTTTGGCGTACCCTGCAACCCGATGTTTCACACTGCCAATCAGCAAACAGAAAAACACTTTTACGCAGACTCAACAGCTCGCGTAGTTTCGAGTATCTTCCTTCCGTGTCGGTCTCAAGCGGTTATGTGAACTTTTAAGGTAATATTTATTGATCATTATAAAAATATATTACATTGCTAACTGAATATTTGACAACATAAATAAATGGCCGACCACCCAAAAGCTATGCCCCCAAAAATTACTTGAACTGTGTTCTGCCAATCTTTTCCGGCGTTTGTATCCTCGAAAGGCACGTTGAAGGTTATTTGGGACAGCTTTACATACATTTCTGATTTTGAAGCTAATTTAAACAACAATTTGTTCCTCACAAATATAACTTCTTAAACATATAGAAGCCTGTTATTGACTCTTCTATGTGGTAAACATTGCTTTAATCTGTCTCTGGGCTGGACAAAAACAAAGTAAACAGGGGCGCGCGGCTGAACCATGACGATTACGCACGCAAACGGTCAGAAAATATCCAATTAAGTAGCTGCCATGCCGAGAAAAACTTTAAATACTACTTCGTTTTACTTAATAAAGAAGGTACTTTGGGGGACGCATTAGCTTCGGCTTTAAAATCGCCTCCTTACTTGCCGCGCAAGCGTGCCTCGGTTGCCTAGTCAGGAGCGTCTGACTCGCAACCGAAGGGTCGTGGGATCGAATCCCGCCTAAAATTATTTTTTTTTATCTTTAAGGCAAAGAGAAATTATTAGAGACATACGGCGACCTGCAATTCACGTTACATGTCATGTTTTAACCACTTTCATTCCATGCGTGATGTCACGTTTCACGTGAGCATTGTGAGTTGTTTGAAATTCTTGAGCGAGGGCACGTAGCTCTGACGTCATGACCTTATCGACCATTCAGGATTTTCCAGTCACGCCACCGAAATCGGCTTTTCTGCGACATGAACTTCTCAGTGCTATTGCGTTAAAATAATCAATTAGCAAGGGTGATGCTCATTTGCAAATTAAATTGACCGGCCTCTTGTCAAGAGCAAACCTCAATAGCCAGGCTATGCCAGCTTATCCTGTATAAAAAAATGTTAACTAACGTGGGCAAGCGCTATTTTGGGCCAGATTCGATCGGAGTGTGAATGTGCATATAGATTAGACTGAACAATTTTGATTGCTCCTTGCTGCATGATTAGTCGCATGCATCGCGGTGCGGAGTGTAAGCAATGTTTGGTTAAAACAAGGAGCATTTTGATTGACGCTCGGCATTTCTTTAAAAAAATAGACTGAAAGGGATTATCCTAGAACTTTCGTGACATTTTGAAAAATCCATTGCTTTTTGCTTAGTTGTGTCGTCATCATATACATATATATATATATTGCGAAACATATTTAGTAAACAATATTTCACGATATATATGGCCACGAGGCGCCAATTTCATAATTTTGTGCAGTAATTAATTCCTTAGTTCGAGGACACAATCACGATTTAACTTTTAATACTGCGACACAAAGTTGTACCAATCAAGGGTATTTTTGGTGACCATGCAACACTTGGCGTCAACATTTTATACTGTGTGAATAAATCAGCTTGAATTTTAGAATTTTACTTAAACACAAAGAAAGGACAGGAAAAGACAGTATAGTTCTAAATTCCAAGCTGATCAATTTACAGGTGTGTACCAACAAGCTCAGCTCCTTACTGTTATACTGAAACATTTGGATTCAGGTAAATATATGTTACTGGTAATGTGTATGTTATGTCGTATGAACACGCCGTTATGTATGTTAAGAAATTAAAAAAAAATGAATTTCATACTTTTGGTATTTGAAAAAAAGGTAATTGCACAGATGAGAAAAAAAACTATATAGTTGATTGTTTCACGGCGTAAATAGTGTATAGTGTCAGAACAACGCGGAAAATATATTATCAATTTAGTGGTTCGAACCGGTTCGAACCGGTTTGAACCGTTATTTTTTGCTCCCCGGAACTGAACCGGAACCGAACCGAAGGCCGTGAACCCGAACCGGAACCGAACCGATAAAAATTTCGGTTCGACACTCTGGTCCCTTCAAATGGTTCTTAGCTCCATTGTTTGCAAGCTGTACAGCTGCATGCAAGTTTATCTGCCTGTGCATATGAATACTGACTGCATCTGTTGTAGAGGGGAATTATAAAGCGACAGAAGGTTGAGTGAATTCGCAATGCATTACTCAGCAGACGGGGGACGACGCATGAAAACGTATTAATTCATTTTAGAGAACCGCATGATAAGCGTTTACGCGTGGTTTTTGAACACCGTGTATAGCTACATGCTTGTAATCGGCTTTTTATTAGATAAGTTAGAAATGAACAACAATAGGTAAATTATGGACACATTCAAAACATAGGTATGTTTCCATCAAAAAAAGTAAAAGTATAGGTTTAAAGGAATTTTTCTAAGAGTTCGCCCAGCTGCATCACTAAAATTCCATTATCAACTCTAACAACTCAAATTCAAGTCAACATAAAATATGGTTTTATCTTTATCACAAAATATTAATGGAAAAAAATATACCAACACAACTTCCACAAAGGAAAAGAACAAAAAACAAAACACGAAACAAATAAACAAACTAAAAAAATGCGCAATACAGCAAGATTATTAACAAGATGCACGTGATCGTAAAACTCATCTGCGATCTTTAAGATAAACAGTATCAGTAAAAACAAATCGACCTGATATTGCAACCATAAGAAACATAGGTTGCGCTGAGAGGGTTTACAACAATCATTGTACTTAGGACGGGAAAACAATATGAAGTTAAAAAGAAAAACATTGAAGGTTTCCAGTTTAGCCTAATCTCGCCGTTTTAAGATTTGCGTTCACTCATAAGCGAGATTGTTTCTGCTGATACTGTTTTTTTAGAGTGAAAAGCATTCTTTTTTTCGTTAAAGATTTTCATTTTTATTGTAGTTGAGGCATTTTTAAGCTTGCGTTTCGAAAATTTAACAGAACATCCCAGGCATTATTTGTAAACAACATACTAAGAGCTAAAATGTACGTGTCTCAAAATTGTAATCTGGCAAGGAAAACTTTTATCCGCCATATTTTTAAAGTGGGCTACGTGAATCGCATCACTCGATGTACGCGCGGAGTTGACTCGAGCTACAGTTTTCGCTCCAGCACGCTGAGACGTGAGACTATTAATTAGCGCTGAGATGTTACGCCGGAGTACTCTTGCGGCTTCCGTTCTAGACGTCGCGACAAGAATTTGCCTCAACGTGACGTCACGATTAGTAATATTTATTATTCATCATCAGTTGATCATCATCACCAGGCGATCTGCGGAATAAGCTACGAGTCATCGCTTTATTTTTTTTTTTTAATCTCAGATCGTCACAGTTGACATTGTGACCGTTGCACTGAATTCCGTCGGTGAAAAAAAATATATATATATTAATACAATAACAAGTCGGCGCAGTGAGCGTTCGGCCAATTCAGAATTGGTAGTTCACGTTCACGTTTCATTTTAACGTAACTTGAACTAAAAAGGGTCATACCATTTGAAGGCAGCGCGCTCGACTGTATACGCATGCTTCGCATAATAATGATGTGTATGTAACGCATGGCCGTTTTATGAGGCGACGCTGCAGCAGCTCGCGTGCTCCAGAACGTTTGCTCGCATTTCAGCAGACGTGTATAGGCAAGCCATGACTGAATCGTCGAAGCCCTTCTCCGGACGGGTGGCCGTGGTCACGGGCGGTGGCAGCGGGATCGGCCGGTGCGTGTGTCGGATGTTGGCGACCGGCGGCGCTAGCGTCGTTGTTGCCGACATCAACCTAGATTCGGCGAGGGACACGGTCCGGACTTTGCCAGGTAATTCCGCGTGATCGTCGAACTCGAACCTGAAACACCCTTTTTAGGGCGATTGCGGGAAAGCCCGGCTTTTCCAGTTCCGAAAGATTGAAATCATGGGACTTTTAATTTGGACACTCTGGGAGAAGAAAAGTCGGCCATGCCGCCGACCGTCCCGATAGGCCAAGCGCCGCGCGCTTGAAGTTGGCGCTGTTGGCCAGTCACGGGGTTGGTGATCTCCCCGACGTTCTCATCGACTGTCCAGAGCCCCCAGGCTAACACAGTTCTTCTGCTGGATTTCCATCGATGCGTATGTTGACAGTCCTTGGATGTGCTATCGTTTCACCATAAGTCAGAACGTAACCAATGGCTATAGTCGCTGGTAGCTTAAAAAATGCAGGGGAACGCTTTGTTGCAATCACGTATCTTAGTGAGTGCGTTCTTCGGCATCCTTATTGGACGCCGCCATCGTATATGTTCAGGAACGATAATGAGACTCGACAGCCGCCCAGCCCCGCGTTTCTGAAGTTCCCAGTGAGCAAGACCATTCCTAGGTTTACCTTCTGCGGGCCTCCATCTTTGCCTACTGGGTTGCGGGACGCGTCCTGAGCTTTCTAAGTATAGATCTCTTTTTGCAGATTATGAGAACGTCGCGCATGCCTCAGGGCCCAGTGACTCAGCATTTGTGGCACGGGTGATCATCATCATCATCATAATGTCTTTATTTGTGCCAATCAACAACCAACAAAGGTCTACAATGTGGCACAGCTAAAAACTTGCACAGCTGTAAAACATGCTCGACTGATAAAACTAGCATGCAACAAAACACGACAGTACATTTTTGACGACGGAAAATAATCTCATCTAATTGTCTACTGAGATTTACGTAGCTATCAAAAATATCAAAATTTTCATGCCTAAGATTGTTTACACTTGTCTGCATTCTTGTTGTTGGTGATGTCATGTGTTAATTGTGAGGATCAAAAGTGAGAGCTCTACTATTTGAGCGAGCCGGTACGTTAAAATTCACTGCGAACAAAAGTGTTGAGTCAATGTCCCCGTAAACTGTTTGATACAAGAAGGCAACATCGCGCAATAATCTTCTGAGGAATAGACATGGTAGGCCAAATTTGACGAGCAGAAGTCCATAGTTGTAAAAATGCTTTCGGCCAAGGTATTTGTCATAAATTATGCGCGCAAAGCGTCTCTGAACTGACTTCATTTTAGCTGCATCACGTAGTGCCAGTGAATTCCACAGCACAGAGCCAAAGTCTATTCTCGACCTGATAATATAACAAAATAAACGAAGGGAACAAGCATAGTTCGCAAACTTTCTAGTTAATCGAGTAATCATTCCAAGTAATCTAATTGCAGAACAGACAGTATGGGCAACATGGCAGCCAAACGATAGAGTAGTGTCAAAGTACACTCCGAGATCACAAAGCGATGATACTCTTAAAATGCACTTATCATCAATTGAGCATGAATACTGTATAATTTCACGTTTCTTACTTAAAGACATGACCTTAGTTGTTGTTTTTTTATTAATGATTAAGCAATTTTCCCGACACCAGTTTCATATATGCGATGCGTCACTCTGAAGAAGGTCACAGTCGTCGTTCAAACTAATACTTAAAAAGAGCTTGATGCCGTCTGCGAGTAACAGCACGTTTGAGTTTACTACGCAAGTAGATATTGATAAATATCAAAAACAATAGTGGACCCAAATTGGAGCCCTGTGGTACACCCGATGACGGATAAAAAGGATCAGGCAAGTTATTTAAAATGCGTACGACACAACGACGGTCAGTCAGCTAGCCTTCAAGCCACAATAGAAGCACAGGAGAAACGTCATTACGCGACAATTTGTACAGCAGCAAAGCGTGGTTCACCTTATCAAAGGCTTTCGAGAGGTCAAAATAAACAACGTCTACTTGACCGCGATTAAAAACAAAAGATACTGAATAATCAAGAAAGGTACAGAGGTTTGTCTCGACTGAGCGCCTCTTGATAAAACCGTGCTGAAAAGAACTGATACGTCGCTTGAAATAAAAAGACAGACGGGTGTGCATCACTATCTCAAATACCTTTGACAAATAACATAGCATTGATACAGGGCGATAGCTCCCAACTTTCGAAGCATCCCACGTCTTATGAATAGGAACAACAATAGACTCTTTTCACACAGATGGAAATATACCCTTACTCATGACCCCTGGAAAGGGTGCATAGAAGACGAAGCATAAACGTGCAGACTAAAAGCGCAAGACCACAAATTTGCAAGCCTCGCGCTTGATTGGTTTACCTAGGAATGACATATGCGGAGCACAAGTTCGTCTGTTTCTTGTACAGAAGTTGCGATGATGTCAGAACACCAAGATCTTATTGGCATGATTTTAAAAAAATATAGTGGGTAGACCTCAAAGCACCAAGAGTTGATGTCTACTCACTTTTCTTTCAATCAAAGCCAATCAGAGCTCGTCGTCGTTCTGCCGTCACCGCAACCCTCGCTCAAGAAGCAGACGACTTGCACTCCGTATAACCCCCGACGGACAACAAGGGCTGCTACGTTGCATTTCTGGCGCCCCTTGGCCGGCCTCGTCGGCTCGTGGCGCCAGCTGCGTTCCAACCTCAGGCGGAAACCATAGTCTAAGGTAGGTGCAAATGGCGCCGAGGTGTTTCGGTGGCGCACCCTTGTCATTTCCGTTTGTGAAGTCACCACCAGAATTTTCCTCGCCGTGACGTCATGAGATGTAATATTTGACTAGTTATCATCAGTTGCTAACTACAAGTTCGATGGTATGAATAAAAATGATGATGAAAGCTTGGCGTCATACCATTCGTAAACCAACGTCGACACAGCCGGCACTAAGCCGTAGCGCCGATTACCGTCCATGAAACTAGAAAGATTCGTCCAGGTAAAGACACCACAGTAAGCGTTTGTTCAACCACGGCTTGTAACGAAAGCGACGCTTTTGGTCGTGCATGTCGCTAATAGTGGAGACACCGCACCGCAAGTGCTTCCCGCAAAGTTATTTACTATTTCCTAAAGAGGAAAAATGGGAGGGTTAGGCGGGAAGAGGTTTTTCCTGTTTTTACGTTGCAACAGACCATTCTACACCATGGGTGCAACAAAGCACTGCATCGATATGCCCTTATAAGTGTCAATTTGGGTCGGTGGTCGAGTGTTTTAGCGCATCGCAACTTAGAGCACGTGGAGCGAAAGTTCGAGCCGCAGAACCCAAGGATCCTGGGTTTAATCCCCCTTCCTGCCCGTTCCGAGCACTATGAGCATCGTACAAGCGTGCGGTCGTATGTTCTACTACTTGACAAACGTTAAAGAGCGCAGACTTACTCTACTTGCTCAATTTCTTATCTACAGCAAATATGTCAAACTTCAAGTGGTACTATCTTCATGCGGTCTGAACATGCAAAGTTAGCACGACACAGTTCTACAAAAAACATTTAAAATGCAGAAAAAACTTATATATTTGAACTTTGTCCGCACCTTTAAAACTAACCGTTTCAATGTGGTTATCACGCAGGGCCCTCACAACACCAAGCCTTCAAGTTGGATGTGGGATGCTCGGAGTCTGTGAAGTTACTCTTTGAGCTCATCGAAAGCACCTGCCCTGCGCCGGCAAGCCTTGTTGTGAATTGCGCCGGAATCAATATTCCTAGCACGCAATTGATGGATATCTCCGAAGAGTCATTCGACGATATAATACGAATAAACTTGAAAGTAAGTTGGACCGCTTAAACACATATTTAATAATATTATCCGGTTTCCGCAATTAATACGAACAATCTGTATTTTTTTAGGTAAAACAACACTTCCCATCTTAGTGTGTACCTAAATAAATTTGAAATTTATTTTTTATATTTCGTAGTTAGAAGAGGCAATATCGCACGAAATAATAATAATATGAAACATGTACCACATGACTCAAACTTTACCGAGAACACAGAGATGCTCGTATGCAACAGGCGAAAAACCAAATCTTACGAGCCTGCATGACAACTGCTAATTTCCGCCATATACATTTAAAATAAATTAATGCTTGCTCGTATGTTTCGACCATACAATATTTAAATATGCTAGCCCCCCAAAGTCATGAGCGACTTGAGGAAACCAATTGCGATCACCTAATTATCATGCTTCGCTGTGTCTCCTGTACCCCGCTCCGACTGAAATATCAAAGTTTAAAACGCTCGCCTGCACACTTTCTTGAAGCTTCAATGGTTGCGCAACTTTTGTAGCTGGTAAAAATAAGCTCAGAACTTTACGTAGAATACTCCAAGTACTGGTGAGTTCAAAATATTTGCCCGTACTAAAATATAAAGTCGATGTAATCGCAAATGTGTTATCTAAACATTCATATAATAATAAATTGAGAATTCCCCCGTAAAGTTATTACGGCTTCAGTATTTCGTTAACTGTTTCGTCCCTTCTGAATTAATATAATCGGTCCGCAAGGCTTAGATACCTAGGAGGAAGGTTTTGTAATTTACCCGAATCACTTTTTTCTACCCCTGCAATGAAGAAAGCCTAAATTTGAAATAGTTCGATAGGCTATGATGGGATCCCTCAGCTCTCACATTTTCGAGGGTTTTCGAGAACCTCGCCACGTCATTGTTTTAGGGTACCTTCCTCATCACAAGAGCTGCAGCGAGAGCCATGGTGAGCGGCAACGTTCAACATGGCACCATCGTGAGCATCTCAAGCATGCTGACTGAGGTCACTCGTGCTGGCAGAAGTGCCTACTCCGCATCCAAGGCTGGCGTGGAGGCGCTCACCAAAGTGGTGGCCAAAGAGCTGGCGTCTCGGGGCATCCGCGTCAACACCGTCCTGCCGGCCTTTCTGGACACTCCGATGGGGCGTACGGGCCACAACTGCGAGGAGATTGAGAACATTTTGGCGGGCATTCCCATGGGCAGGTTATGTCGGCCAGAAGAAGTGGCCGAGGTCGTTGTGTTTCTCTGCCTGCCAGAAAATTCGTTTATGACCGGTGCAGCTGTTTCTGTGTCTGGGGGAGTAATGTAAATGTCGTCCATGATTTTGTATACGATTTCAGTGTGGTATTTAAGCGTCCTGTTATTTACAGGCTGTTTTAATACACCCTAGCGTTATTTAGGAGTGATTCGCTGTCATTATTTTGACTGGCTCAAAACGTTTAAATGTTAAGGGATTTATGTTCATGGCTGTGCTACACCAAGCGTCAACGTTCTTATACTTGAAAACGTACAACAGTGCAGAGTTGGGGCTGGTATAGACAGTAAAAAGCATATGGGACAGCCCCTTTGAGTTCAATTATTCAAACACTTTTTAGCTCCCAGCTGCGCTAGAATCATTGTCTCTTGATCTAAGGATAGATTCACACATGCCTAATCATAATGTAACACCTCAGAGCATGTGCAAAAAAAAAAAACTTTCAAGCCGAAGGAAAAGACAACAAAGAAGAACGCCTCGTTTTCCTACGTAATTTTTTACTTCAACTTGGATGTTTTATACAAGTTTAAGCGCCAGACTCTCAGGCGTTACATTAAGTTTAATTATCAGCAGCTGGCCTGCACGCGGGCTCTTTTTTTCGTTGATCGCAGATACCGCCGGTCCTGAAGCTGTTAACTTTTAAGTGGTGCTGGATGTCTTGTCCAGGTCTTGCTGCATTTTTTTGTACTTTGCGCATTTTTATTATACGCCACCAGCTCTAATTTTTATTTTTATAATTTTATTTACAAAAATATTGTAGGGGTTTGTGTACAATTTGTGCTCTTTAGTCTAGGTCTTGGAAGTGGTATACATCTTTTGTGCGTGTGTTTTTTTTTTTTTTTACTCGCATGCTTTGTCGCGCGCGGTCGCTGTTTAAGCATCTTATCTGAAAATTTACTTGACAGTAAGACAAGACAATATCCAAAACTAAAGCTTCCAATGTATAGCGGGCTCTAGTTTTGTAAGTTTGTTTATTTTTGATGTTGCCTTTGGCGCTCAAGACCGTCAACAAGGTCGCATCGGTTCGAAACATTGAGTTCAGTGTTCAGAGTGATAAGGCATCACAAATAATCAGTGGAAAAATTGACTACCTCGCGAGCCAAAGGAGCCAATCACTCTTAGGTATGTATTTTGGTTCTGCGGTGCATGAGCTACGAAGCAAAGATCTTACGCCCTGTGTCCCCGATAAAGAAGGTAGTCTTGCAGCCCTTGATTCGGGGACATAAGGAGAGAAAGATAGCCAGTGCTGTAACGGCTAAGGACTTCGTTCATAGCCAGGAAAAAATCAGAAAAGGAACAAATCAAGCCGTTCTGGGGTAGAAAGCCATCTAACAACCTGAGCGCAAATTTACAAGAACGAAAGTATTCCACCTGGATGATTTAGGGCGCAGCTCTTAGGCGCCCGTTTCCGGCTTGAGCGGCTTCGCCGTCGGCGTAACCGCGAGGTCACGTGACACCCCATGAGGTCACGTGACCCCCCTGAGGTTATGTGACCCCCGTGACTTAACGGGGGTCCCGTGAACTCACGGGGGCCACGGGGGGGGGGGGGGGGGGGGGGTGAAGGAGGAGTAGGGGATGAGGAGTAGCAGGCAGGGTGACGACGTGAGGAGGAGGGAGGGGGGTGTACCACCCCATCAGTACCCTTACATCCTCCTCCTCAAGAGCTGTGCCCTCATACGGCGTTACACGGAGTTGTAAACGGCTCTCATTTCTTTTTCTTGGCGAAGACATACGAGGTTGGGGATACTGTTTTACACCATTTTGCCAAAAAGGTGCGGTATCATCCGTCAGTGTTCTTGGCAAAGTGCTTGTCTTTGGCACAATGCATTGATCCTGGCAAGATACAAAAGTCAGGACATGCCATGGCCTATGTTCAAGTAAATTAATTTGCTATTTCCGGCTTCTTCAATTGACATCAAGGATCTGCATTATTCTTTACCGCGGACAAGACTATCGCTGACTTTTTGTTCAGTCGAAAATGGATGTGCCATAGGATTCCAGAACGCTGCTGGGATGAACCTTAGCGACTTCCTGAAATTACTTGGTGTTTCTAATACGGCAACATTGGCGTCACATCAAGGTCGACAGTATCTGCAAAAATATGGTGTGTGCAACAAATTCGGCGTGGCTCAATTCTGTGATATGTTCCAAACATTGTACAGAAAACACAACAAAATGAACTTCACACGAGGATTAAGACCGTCTTAATGACCGTTAATGACTTCGAGATACTTTGGAAAAAAAGGGTAGAAACTATAAGGAATTGATTCAAAGAGACGGTCAATAGCTGCTGGTATAAAAGCTGCACGCATGGGTTTTACTTATGAACTACGCGTGAAAAAGTCCTCCAAGTAGCATTTCGCTTATTCAGACCAAAAGAATCGTCTAACCCTAGCTTCTTGATGAAGCCCTAAAAACCAGCTGACTGTTTTTTTATTTTTTTATTTTTTTAGAAGTTAGAGCGGAATTGGGAAGGCTGGTGGAATCTACATAACAAAAACAGCGGAAGGGGAAGGCTTTTGGCGCCATGCATGTGCATACAAGGTTTACTTAATTTCAAGGCGGGGTGTGGAGCCTCAAATGCTCCCTCCTGCCTCCCCCCCCCCCCCCCTTTCCTGACTACGCTGCCGCCACAGGTGACTCCTGCGATTGTATGAAGAACCCTACGCTATAAGAACCCTACAATCTAAAAAAGGGTGTATTCGTACACCCTTTGTCCCATATGATGCACCTCAAAACCTTAGTTTCACGTACAGCTTTTTTTCATATTTTGGAAGAATATGTAACGAGTAACGTAACGACGTTACGCGTTATTCGAAATAAGTAACGCAAGCCCATTCCCCGCTACTGTCTTAAAGAAGTAAAGAGTATGTCACTACGTTACAAAAAAAGTAACGAGATCCCGGTAACGCGTCGCCGCCAACACTGGTAGCGACCCGCTGACGAGAGCTTGACATGTGCTTTGTGCGCGAACACCGTAGGAACAAAATGTGGGTGGTCTCGATCAGACGACGGTTTCCCTGCACATAACCAAGCGTCGCGACGGAGATTGAAATGGAAGCCACGCGTGCCTTCGAGAAAGTTCTTCCTGCACAAACGGTCGTTCGCGCGAGGCGATGATTCTTCTCGATCCATTGAAATTATCTACCTTCTATGCCTTTCAGAGTCCGCCGGAAACTTGGGGAAACTCACTCTGCTACGTTTGCTGTATACCTTTCGGTGAAATTAACGGCTACACAGCTTTGCGGCATGCTGAAATGCTATGACGCCCGTGCAAAATGCGCGCCCTACTACCCACACCACCCGGCTCTGGCGCGATCGCAGCGCCGCCGCAGCACCGTGACGTCAAGCCCGCGTGATGGTCCATAGCGACTGCGGCACTTAGGAAAACGGTGCATCCGAGGTGCACGTTATAAATCCTCCAGGAGATTTTATTTTCTGCGATGTAGCTATAGTAACCTCTTTTTGCTCATTTGACTTAAAATATCTTCTAACATGCGACAGTGATGCTACTCTTTTACTGGGCCTCAATGCATAGAATAGAACTTCTATTTTGTTGTTTACTACTGTTGCTTGCAAATAAAGCATTCTAGTGTCACCGAAGTCGATGCAAATTAGGCAGTGCGAAAGTGTCTTCGAAGGTAAATGAATTACACTCCTAAGTATTTCGACTCTACTCAAGATATTTCCAGGAAAAATATCTTGAGTAGTACCCTAAATACTTTATGAAGCAGGCATTTAGTCACTTATCCCAAATACATTTGTCGAGTATCTTGTCCAACACTGATGTTTGCACAGCAATCGCTGTAATATAATTTATGAATTAGTCGAACGAGGGAGATGGTACGACGCACTTCTATCTAAGCCAATGAGCACTGACGTTTGGGGGGAGGAACACTTTTATGTTACCCCAGAATGATAATTTTGACCACAGTTCCGGCTGACTACAAATAAGTTTTAAATGCGAAAGCATTAACTGTCCCATGGAACGAGCTAACGTAATCAGCCGCGCCAAACGGAAGAAAAATTCATGAAGCCGTAATCTGAGGTATCCCAGCTTTCAAGCCGCCCAAAAAGCCACGCACAACGGCAATTAAATGAAGCCGAGGGAGGTCGCCGCGCGTCCGTTTCAATCAGCACCACCCTATGGCGCTGCGTGCCCGCGCCCCGGCCATGAGGAATCGGCTGGCACGCTCGGGGAGGCCGTATGGCCGCCCGAACGCACCAGCCGATTCTTACAGCCGATTCCGCTCAAGACCTTCTAGATAGCTTTCAAGCCTGCGCGTCACGTGGCATGACGTCACGTCCCGGAGGCCTGCATGGGCGCTGACAGGATGCGAGTGCCGCGTCAGCGTTCGCATGGGACTATGATACGAAACGAGTCCCGCGCGAACGCTGACGCGGCACTCGCATCCATTCAGCGCCCGTGCAGGCCTTCGGGACGTGACGTCATTCACGTGACGCGCAGGCTTGAAAGCTATCTATAGTCGGTTGCAAGCTAAGAAAAAACCGGAAATGCCTCTCAGGGGGAAATGTAATCCTACGCCGAGAAACGTCAGCCAATCGTTTTCATGACGTCACGATACCGTGGACCAATCGCGATCCTTTTGAAAAAAAAAAAAAAAAGCTCAACATTTCTGCTGGCCTTATCAACGCGACGCTAGTTTCTCGTGACAATTATTCTGCTTTTTTGCACCGTGTTGTACGTGCCCGAGGTTGCGCCACGAAATCTTAATGGTATCAGCTTGCGTTTGCAGCAGTTTTTGCGCAAAAACGTGAGAATCCAGCGACGCTATCGCCAACGAAAATTTCGAAGCCGGCGCGAGGCTTAGCACTGCTGAGAGGTGAGAAGCTACGCCGGACGTCGACTGCTTCGTTGGATTTCTGTCGCCTCTGCACCAGGCTGTTTCGTCCAAGAAGAATCAAAAGAATCGCTTTCCGATATCACCTCAGTGGGATCCATGACGGAAGACAAAGAGAGCGGGGAGCGGTGGTGGTGTCGATGACTTGGGAGGGTGCCGATTTGTCAAAACCCGAAAAGTATAATTATTCTTGTTTTCTATTCATCCAACAAAATAAAGGCAGACATTTCGTGCGCAAAGCCCACACAACTAAGTAAATCACTAAATATTTATTATTTGCAGGAACTATAAGTGCTTCGCTTTCCATCAATCGAAGGCCCTGGAAGACGGTATGTTAGACGGTATCTTGGACAGAAAATGAATTGGGAAGACGGTACATTGGACATGACTTCCTTTCTTTACTAAACAGCTATTTCGCTGACAAAAACGTATTCTGACTTATTTAAATGCCCTGAATGAATTAAATAAATATTGTAGTAGTTTAAGACACGTTTCCTGGAGGAAGAAAAAGCAACGTTGCTAGCGAACTACTTTCTTGACGGCGGAGGCACTTCAGATGGGCGCAATGCGCTTGTGGGTGGAGCTAAAAGATTGTTCTCAGGTTGCATCCGACTATAGGAGGTGTTGTTCCGAGCTGCCGACAGAGCGGTGGCACCGAATCATGCGCCGATGTCAGCGAGGCACGGCACGGCAACTTCACGAGGACGCGCGCAAGAACGACATTCATGCTTTCGCATTCAGCATTAATAAGAAGGTCTTAGATGTTCTTCGCACCTTTTTTGTGTGATGTTTTGTTTTGTTTGCTGTTTAGGCAAGCTATGCTTTTTTATATTCAGAACCCCTCCACCAGAAAAACAAATTTAATATTAC